GAAATCAGTAATCTTGAGATTTTTTCTGCCTCCTGCTCATGTTTCCAGCCAATTACTGGACTTTTTCTTTGTTAAGGTAGGCTCTCTACTTCCATTGTGGAGGTGTACTGTCCCAAGCTTCAAGGATTTTGTGCAGCTGTTTTCAGAGATACTTCTATGGACCTGTATATTTTCAGTTCTTCCAAGGTGATATGATCAAAAGAGAGGTGTTTACTCTTTTCCTGGCCTGTGTTCTCATCTGTGAGTGACAGCAAGCATTCTTTTCTGCCTTGGAACTTTGAGGAGGATTCCCTCTTCACCGCCACCACAAGCTCTGCCTTGCCACCACTCCTCCTCACCCTAGGATCACCACCCAGGAACTATGACCCAGATCTATGTATGGGCAAAGCAAGAGAATTCTGCATCAGTACCAGCAAAGAGATCTTTGCAATCCCCTTCTGATCAGCAGCTTGATTCCCCCATAGTCTGTGGGCTGAGAACTCAGAAAGCAGCCACCTCTGTGACCACCGCCCCGGGGCTGCACCAGGACTGTGGCTGGACTGTGCTCCTCTCTAAACCAGGTCCCACAGATCTTTCCTACTGACTTTTTAAGTTCTTTGGTGTTTGTGAGTTGAGAAGTCTGGAAACTGCCACAGCTGCCTATGATTCAGTCCCCTGAGGCCTGCTCCAGGTTCACTGGGCCCTGGTCTTTGCCGACACAGCCCACGCTGGACTGTGTTCCTTTCCCAGCCTGGTGAAGCAGACCTTTCCTATCAACCATCCATGTTGTCTTGGGCTGGAAATTTGTTTCACTCTGTCTTTTTGGGGGTTCTGCTGCTCTAGAATTTGGTTAGAGTAATTACAGGTATTTGGAGGTTTTTGGGGGAGAGCTCAAGCAAGTCATTGCTTTTACTATGCCATCTTGGCTCTGCCCCATGAGAAATTAAGAAACAATAAAAGAAAACCAAAAGAATGAAAAAATAGAACACAGTATGAAACATCTTATTAGAAGAACAACTGACCTGGAAAATAGATGAAGGAGAGATAATTTAAAAATTATTGGACAAGCTATCGTCAGAAAAAGAGCCTAGACATTATCTTTCAAGAAATTATCAAGGAAGACTGCCCAGACATTCTAGAACCATAGAGTAAAATAGAAATAGAAAGAATTTACCAATCACCTCCTGAAAGAGATCCCAAAAGGAAAATTCCTAGGAATATTATAGCCAAATTCCAGAGTTCCCAGATCAAGGAGAAAATACTGTAAGCAGCCAGAAAGAAACAATTCAAGTACGGTGGAGCCATAGTCAGGGTAACACAAGATTAGCACCTTCTACATTAAAGGATCAAAAGGTTTGGAATATATGCCAGAAGGCAAAGGGGCTAGGTTTAAAACCAAGAATCACCTACCCAGCAAAACTGAGTATAATCCCTCAGGGGGAAAAATGGATATTCAATGAAATAGAGGACTTTCAAGCATTCTGGATGAAAAAATCAGAGCTGAATAGAAAATTTGACTTTCAAATATAAGACTCAAGAGAAGCATGAAAAGGTAAACAGGAAAGAGAAATCATAAGGGACTCAATAAGGTTGAAATATTTACATTCTTCCATGGAAAGATGATATTTGTAACTCATAAGATCTTTTTCATTATTAAAGTAGTTAAAAGGAGTATATGTAGACAGAGGGCACAGGTGTGAGTTGAATATGAAGGGATGATATCTCAAATATAAAATTAAAGGGTGAGAGAGGAATGTACTGGGAAAAAGAGAAAGGGAAAGGTAAAATGGAGTAAATTATTTCACATAAAAGACGCAAGGAAAAGCTTTCACAATGGAGAGGAGGAGGGGAGAAGTGAGGGGAAGTGAATGAATCTTACTCTCATCCAAATTGGCTCAAAGAGGGAATAACATACAAATGCAATTGGATATAGAAATCTGTGTTACCCTACAGGAAAGTAGGAGGGAAAGGGGATAAGGGGGTGGTGGTGAAAGAAGGGAGAGCAGATTGGGGGAGGGGGTAGTCAGAAGCAAAACAGTTTTGAGAAAGGAGAGAGAATAAAATAAATGGGAGTAAGGGAATAGGATGGAGGGAAATACAGTTAGCAGTAGTAACTATGAAAAAAAATTTGAAGCAAGTTTCTCTGATAGCCTCATTTCTCAAATGTATAGAGAACTGAATCAAATTTATAAAAATAAGAGCCATTCCTCAATTGATAAATGATCAAAAGATATGTTTTCAGATGAAGTAATCAAAGCTATCTGTAGCCATATGAAAAAAATACTGTGTCTCACTATTGAATGAAACATTTCTGAGGTACTAATTATGTGGTTGCAGGGACCCAAAATACTGAGATTCAGGATGGATCTGTCCGGAAAGAATTCTCAGACTCAAGGAGTCTTCCAGTCAAGTGACAGAAAGTTTATTATAATGCTAATAAAGGGGGACAGAGTTCCTTTAGGGAACTAACAACCTAACAAGAATGAGGCTAAAGCTTATATAGGAAAGATTCAGTGAGTAGTATGCCAAGATTGTTAATTAAGTAGTGAACATACAGTTTCTGTACCTTGGGCACAGGCATTATTTACTACTGGAAACCTTAAAAGGGGGTCGGGGAACTTCTAAGGGGTCTGAACATCTGTGACAAGATAGCTTTGGAAGTTGATGTCTGTGGCTTGATGTCTGGATTGTATGTGGTAGTTTTGGGAATCAGGAATCAGTTCTGCTCTGGTACAAGATAGTGCTGTTCATACAAGGGAAATTCTACAGAGGTCAGTTTGTTCTTGTAGTAGGGAGAGATAGTTTGCCTCACTCAGCACACTCATAAGTTATTGCCAGAGGTAGGGTGTTTAGGCTGGGGAGAGGTGTGGTCCTAGGGCTGTGGTCTAAGCATAAGCACCCCATCACTACCTCATATCTATTAGATTGCCTAATAAGTCAGAAAAGGTAAATGACAAATGTTGGAAGGGGTGTGGGAAAAATGAGACATTGATGCATTGTTGGTGGAGTTGTGAACTGATTCAACTATTCTGTAGAGCAGTTTGAAACTATGCCCACAGGGCTATAAAACCATGCATACCGTTTGACCTAGCAATACTACTACTAGATCTGTATCTCAAAAGAGAGAAAAAACAAAAAGGGAAAGGGCTTATATGTACAAAAATATTTATAGCAGCTCCTTTCTGGTGGCAAAGAATTATAAATTGAGAGGATGCCCATCAATGGGGAATGGCTGAACAAGTTGTGATACGTGATAATGATGGAATACTTTTGTACTATAAGAAATGATGAGCAGGATGCTCTCAGAAAAACCTTGCAAGACCTGCATGGGCTGATGCAAAGAGAAACATGTTGTGTACAAAGTAACAGCAATACTGTAAAGTGATCAGCTGTGACTGACAGCTATTCTCAGCAATACAGTAATCCAAGACAACTCTGAAGGACTGATGAAAAATGCTGTCCATCCCCAGAGGAAGAGCTGATGATATCTGAATACAGATTGAAGAATCCTTTTTTTTTTAACTTAATTTTTCTTGAGGCTTTTTTTCCTCTGTTTTCTTTCACAACGTGACTATTATGGATGTGTTTTGCATGACTACACATGTATAACCTATATTGAATTGTTTGCCTTCTCAATGAAGGGGGTTGGGGAGGGAGGAAGGGAGAGAATTTGGAACTCAAAGTTTTAAAAATGAATATTAAAAATTGTTTTGACATGTAATTGGGGAAAAATGAAATACTAAATAAAAAAAAGTCAACATAAAACTCAAATAAGAACTGTGATAAATAATCAGTGCATGAGGATCCCTACAGCTGCATTTTGACTTAGTTTTTAAAATGTAATATTATCTGTGTTTTGTTGCATGTTTATTTTCTTAAATGTTTCCCAATTACATTTTAGTTTGGTTCAGGCTCCACCCTGAAGTGTGATAGCCCACACAGCCTGTGGCCCTTGTGTTTGACACCTATTTTACTTTATAGAATACATATTTTTTTCCACATGCCTTTTTAACCTCATTAGTTGAGGGCAAGGACTTGTTTTTCTTCTTTGTTTTCCTGCAGTTTTAGTGGTGCTTTGCATAGTGTGGCACTTAATAATTGTTTGTTGAATGAATATTGGCAATAATTGATCCTGTTCTAAGGACTGAAGAAGTTTTAATCACGAAACAAATGTTATGTTGTGAAATAGCTTAATAGGCTGCATATTTTTCTTAGAATTCTAATATGTTCTATTAAAGAAGCAAATTAATGGTTTTTTACTCCCCATTATTAGCTACCTCATCTTGAATTATAATTTTACCTTTCAGTGGAGGCTTAACTGGATTCCCTTGCTTCCCGCAACTATTGCTCTTCAACTCAGTTTGATTAAAACTCAGCTGAATGCCTAAGAACATTTGGAGAGAGAGCTCTCTGAAAAATATTTTCCTTAGTGTAGTCTAACCTATGGATCTTCTGACCTGCTAAGATCTGGTTAGTGACACTAGAAATTTGAAGGGTTAGGGTTTTTTGTTTTGTTTTGTTTTTAACTTTTAACTATTACCAATGGGGAAGCAAGTATAAGAAGATTGAGAATTAAAGTGTATTGAAAGTAGGGGGAATAGTTTGCAGAATGTACATTCTTTTCTGGTGGGAGTTTTAGTTGACTTGTGTGATTTGAAGTTGGGTTTTTTTTGGTTAGTATTTTAATGTTTCTTTTTTGTTTTTACTGGACCAGTGATTTCATTGGTGTAGGAAGTTACAGGTGAGAAAATTCCCTCTATCAATTTATATCAGTAGTTGCTCTGAAAATTTACAGTATTAGAGAGTTATCTAGTGAATAATTTGAACTGATGTCTTCCTTAGTGTGAGGCCAACTTTCTGTCCGTTGCCTTTACTGTAATTTGAGATAGATTGGTCATTTATTTTAAGGAGGAAAGGAAATCAAAAGTACTTCAAAACATGCTTTATTTTATGACTACATCCTTAATTCTTTTTTAAAAATTGAATAATTAAATTACAACCTAATTTCCTCTTTCTTCCAGATCAAAGACTAAATGCAGTACTTAGGCGATATCAAATGGAAAATCTGTCCAAATATTCACCTGAACAGGTATGTGAATTGATCATCTAAGTATATATCATTGGGAGGTTGGTTGCCATGTAATGATTTTTTTGGCCACAGCTAACTATGAAATGAGCATCAGCTTAAATATGAAAGAAAAATATGTTATTTTGAAGGCTCCCTGATTTTCAGGTAGCAAAAATTTTAGAATTTGTTGTTGTTTAGTCATTTCAGTCAGGCCTAATTCTTTGTGACCCCATTTGATATTTTCTTGGCAAAGATACTGGGGTGGTTTCCCTTTTCCTTCTGTAGCTCATTTTACAGACCAGGAAACTGAGGCAAACAGTTAAGTGATGTACTTAGTTAGGGTCACATAGCTAGTAAATTTCTGAGGCCTGATTTGAACTCAGGTTTTCCTGACGGTAGGCCTAGAGCTCTATCCACTGTGTCACCTAGCTACATCAGAAGTTTTAGAATTACTTGGTAAAATTCTATCATTTGAGTCTGAATTCTAAAAACTTAAATTATGCAATAATTCAGTTAAAACTATTTAAATTTACATGAGTTTTATGCATTAAGTTTTTTTCCCCCGTTTTGGTTTAGACCTATGATTCCAGCCTTTTAGAGTACCTAAGATGTAGGAACTTTCACCACTGATGAAAATTAGCAACTTATCTATAACTTAGATTTTTATAAAAAATTTTGAATTATTTGTAAATTAAGCTTAACAGTTAACACATACAAACATGAATATTTCTGTATAAAAAGAAAAGAGAATTGTATACAAAATTGCAAATTTCTTTTGTGTATAGCTTGTTTATTTTTTAAGTATAAAATAATGTGTTAGTTTCAAAACTGGCCTGCTATTTGGGCTTAAAACCTGTCACTCATACTACATATTCACTCCATTGTTGAAATCTTGTTCCTACCTTCACAACATCTCTTATGGCCACTTCTCTCCAGTCACTTAGCTATAGCCTAGTTTAGGTCCTCATCACTTGGACTACTTTAATACCTGGACTACCTTATTATCCAGGATTATTGCAAAGCCTTCTAAACTGGTCTGCCTATCTCAGGTCTGTTCTTAATACAAGTCTCCTCCCATCTCCAGCTGCTGAAGTGATTTTTCTAAAGTGTATGGTTTGATTCCCAGCCTTGCTCAGTGAGCTCTAGTGCCTGTTTCTTTCAGGATCAAATATAAAGTTCCCTTTTTGGCCTTTAAAGTTCTTTATGCTTTGTCCCCGTCCCCTTCTTACACTTTTATCTTTCTTATACCTTACACTCCTCTACACATTCTATGATCTACATACACTAGTCTACTTGCAGTTCCTTGAACAAGATACTCCACCTCCTCTCTTTATGACTATCCTACATCCCTGGAATCCTGTGTCTCTTCACCTTTGCCTCTTAGTTTTCTTAATTTCTTTCAAGACTTACCTCAAATCCTTTCTAAATCAAAATTTTCAGGAGACTTTTATCAGTCCTTTCCCCTTGGTGCTAATGCCTTCTCTTTTCATATTACCTTCATCTACGCTGTATATATCTTATATGTACCTAGTTATTTACATATTGTCTCCCTCAGAATTTATGATCATTGTTTTTTCTTTTTTATTTGTATCTTCAGGACTTAGTGCAGTGCCTGCCACATATTAAGTGTTTAATAAATCCCTCTCACCCTACTCCCTTATCAAGCATTTATTTTTTCACCCTTTCACTTCCAAACTGAGGGGGGAAAACCCCTTGTAATAGTCAAGTAAATCAAATTCTTATATTCTTATATATTATTATACATATTTATCCATCACCTCTTTGTCAGAAGGTGGGTCGCATTCATCATGGAATCATAATTGATCATTTTATTGATCAGAGTTCTGAAGTCTTTAAAAATAATGATTTTTTTCAGTGTTGTTGTTATAGTATAATTTGTTCTCATAGTTCTGATTACTCTATATCCATTCATACAGGTCTCCCCAGTTTCTCTGAAATTGTCACTTTCATCCTTTCTTATTTATCACAGTAATATTCCACTTCATTCTGTAATGTTCTAGCTAAATGGTGAAGTAGATAGAGCCCTAGTCCTGGAAACAGGAAGGTCTTATTTCAAATCCAATCACAGATACATAATAGCTGTGTGACTTTGTTTCTACCCAATTGCTTTCCAGTTTCCTCACCAGTTTTTGGGTGAATAGTAAGTTCTCACCACAATAGTTACAGGTCTTTGAGATTTATCAGACTTTCTTCTACTATATTAATTTGCTTCTGGATCTTGGATACTTAATCCTTTCTTCTGACCAAATCTTCTGCATTTTAACTCATACCAAATACTTTTTGTGATTACTGCTTCGTAGTTTAATTTGAGATTTGATACTGCTAGACCCTCTTCCTTGCTACGTTTTTTGTTATTGTTGTTATTTCTCTTGAGCTTCTTGATCTTTTGTTCCTCTAGCTGAATTTTCTTATTTTTTCTAGCCCTATAAACTAACCCTTTCATAATTTCATTGGTAGGACACTAAGAAAATTTATTTGCTATCATTTTTATCATTTTTATCATATTGTCATAAACTACCCATGAGCAGTTAATATCTTTCTAGTTATTTGAGTCTACATATATTTTTTGAGTCTATATTTTTTAAAGAATGTTTTATAGTTGTATTCATGTAGTTCTTATGTATAACTTGTTAGGTAGAATCCCAAATGTATCATATATTATGCAGATATTTTAAAGTGAATTTCCCTTTCTAGTACTTTCAGTTGAATTTAGTTGATAATATATAGAAAGGCTGATGATTTATATGAGTTTATTTTACATTCTGATATTTTGATGAATTTATTGTGTAGATGAATTTTAGCATTCTTTAAGTGGACTGTTATGTCATAAAAACCCCAATATTTTTGTTTCTTCATTGAATATGCTTTCAGTTTTTTTCTTGTCTTTTTTACGTCTAGTATTACTAAAACTATATAAGATAATAGTGATGATAATGAACATGCTTGTTTTACTCATTATTTAAAAGGCTTCTACTACTCCATTGCATATAATATTGACTCTTATTTTTAGATAGATACTATCTACATATTAAGGCCCATTTATTCCTGTGCTTTTTAAGAGAATTTTAGAGAAATTGTTGTACCTTAGAAAAAACCTTTTCTGCATCTATTGATATAATCATATGATTTTGATTTTTATTAATATGTTTATGTAATTTTAGAGTAATTCCAGTTTTGTATAGTATGATATGCTATAGCATTTTAAAATACATATTTCTCTGTTCCAGAAAACTGTCTTACAAGGAGATGGAGATGACACACTAGAAGCCACTATGGCTGACAGAAGGTAAGACTGAATTTCCAGGAAGTTTATTTTTATTTTTTTAAAGATGTTTTAAAAGATGTTTTAGTTGAAATCTTTATATTGAATTTCCATAACCATTTACAGTTAAATTGATTTCAATGAATAAAACATAATTAATAAATGAAATAAAAATAAATGAATAACACATAAATTTGCCCCTCATTTACTACCTGCCAACCCATGGCACCCCTCCCTCCCCACCACCTTAAGGACTCCACAGCAAGTTGAGCCACTCCATTATTGACAAATATTTATCATCAGGCAAAACCATTTTTGGGTGAGAATGCATATCTGGTTCTGAACCACTAATATGTCATCTCATTTTTAAGGAGAAGGGAGAGATATTTTTATTTTGGGGTCATGATTGGCCATCACTTTTGTTCTGAGTCCTGAGGTTTTCATAATTGTTTCCCTTGATATTATTGTTGTGCTTATTACCTAAATTGTTCTCCTGGTTCTGTTGTACAAATTTCGCTTTGCATCAGTTCAAAATGAATATCTTCATATATATTTCTTTGAATTCATCATATTTCTTGGGGCACAATTAAAATTTCATTACATTCATGTTAAAACAATTTGTTCAGCCATTTCCAAATTAATGACACCTATTTAAATACTGATTTAAATATTCTTGTAGATATAGGTCCTTTTCTTCTTTGCTTGATCTACTTGGTATACATGCCTACTAATCAGAGGATATGTGCAAGTCACTCAGTGTAACCCTGTTTGCCTCTGTTTCCTCATTTGTAAAATAAGCTGGAGAAGGAAATAGCAAACCATTCCAGTATCTTTGCCAAGAAAACCTCAAATAGAATCATGAAGAGTCAGACATGACTGATAAACAACTTAAAAGAGACTTTTTGGGTATAGTTCTAAATTTTCTTCTAGAGTAGTTGAATCAATTCACAAATTACACCAACAGTATACTTACTTCCTGTCCTCCCACATCCCCTTTTCTTTGGCTGTCTTTGTTAATCTGATGGATATGAGGATCATAGTCGATTTAATTAAAGCAATTTGATTTTGATAATTATATACTTATTCTTTTTTAAGTATATAATTTTAATAAGTATATAATTATACTTTTTTAATTTTTAAAAAATTTTAATAAGTATATGATTATAAACTTATTCTTTTTTTAAAATTTATTTTTAGTTTTCAAAATTCACTTCCATAAGATTTTGAGTTCCATATTTTCTTCACATCTCTCCCCTCTTCCCACCTCAAGACGGCATGCAATTTGATAGAGGCTTTACATATGTATTCATATTAAACCTCTTTTCACATTAATCAAGTTGTAAATAAAAATTAGAAGCAATGGGGGAAACCACAAGAAAGAAGAAACAAAGAAAAAAAAGAGAGAGTAAATCATATGCTTTGATATGCATTCAGATTCCATAGTTCTTTTTCTGGATATGGACAGTATTTTCCATCTTGAGTCCTTTGGAGTTATCTTAGATCCTTGCATTGCTAAGAAGAGATGAATCTATCAAAGTCAGTCATTGCACATTGTGGCTGTTACTGTGTACAATGTTCTCCTGGTTCTGCTCACTTCACTCAGCATCAGTTCATTCAAGTCTTTCTAGGTTTTTCTGAAGTCTGCCTGCTCATCATTTCTTATGAAATAAGAGTTCCATTACACTCATATAGCACAACTTATTCAGCCATTCCCCAACTGATGGGCATCCTCTCAATTTCCAATTTTTTGCCACCACAAAAAGAGCTGCTATAAATATTTTGTACATGTGGGTCGTTTTTCCCATTTGTATGATCTCTTTCAGATACAGACCTAGAAATGATATTGCTGGGTCAAAGGGTATGCACATTTTTGTAGCCCTTTGGGCATAGTTCCAAATTGCTCTCCAGAATGGTTGGATTAGTCTTATGCTTAATTTGGGGGGGGGGCACTAGGCAATGGGATTAAGCTATTGCCCAGGGTCACACGGCTAGTAAGTGTTATGTGCCTGAGGCCATATTTGAACACAGGTCCTCCTGAATCCAGGGCTGGTGCTCCATCCACTGCACCACCTAGGTGCTCCACATATGCTTACATATGCTTATTCTTAAAGGAATTATTTCATGATGTAAGATAATGATAAAAAAAAATTTAGGGCTGCTAAGGGAAAATCAGACTTTAGTATAATATTTACTCTTTTATTTATGATACCTTTTTAGGAAATGTTCAACAAGTTTGTTAGACCAAACTATTATCATTTCAATGCTGATGATTCTTAAATCTACCTTTCTATCCCTCTGCCAAGTCTCTACTTACTTACAGTTTAGCATTTCCATCTGACTTTCAGATATCTCAAAGTGGATGCCCAATAGACATCTTAAATTCGGCATGTCTAAAACGGAACTCATTATCTTTACCCTTCAACCCTTCCTTCTTCCAGTTTTACCTATTATTGTCCAGGGCACCATCATCCCAGTCCCAGAAGCTAATAGCCTTAGATGTCATCCTTAACTTCTTGCTGTATCTCATCCCCTATATACAACCTGTTGCCAAGGCCTGTTGATTTTATCTTTGTAACATCTCTCCAATATGTCCCACTTCCTCCTCTCATACTGCCATCCCCCTAGTACAGGCTTTTATTACTTCATACCTGGACTATTTCAATAGCCAACTGGTGGATCTGCCTCCCTTAGATCTTTCTCTATCCAACTCCATCCTCCACTGAGCTACCAAAGTGATTTTCCAAAAATGCAGATCCAACTATTTTACCCACTAATCAATAAACTACAGTGGCTCTCTATCACTTTCTGGATCAAATGAAAAATCCTCTCTTTGGCATTCAAAGCCCTTCATAACCTATACATATATAAACCTTTGTAGTCTTCTTACATTTTACAATAGCTTCTTGTCTCTCCCCCCTCTCCCCCCACACCTCCAGTGTACTTTTCATTTTAGTTACACTGGCCTCCTTGCTATTCCACAAACAATAAGATTCCTCTCTCAACTCTGGGCATTTTTTGTCTGTCCCCCGTGCCTGGAAGGCTGTCTCTCCTCATCTCTGCCCCCTGACTTTCCTGGCTTCTTTCAAGTCCCAGCTAACATTCCCTTTCCTACAGGAAGCTTTTCCCAATTGTTCTTAATTCAAGTGCCTTCTCTCGGTTAATTATTTCCTGTTTATTTTGTACATGGGTTGTCTGTACATATTTGTTTGTTTGTTATCTCCCCCATTAGTTTGTGAGTTCCTCAAGGGCAGACACTGTCTTTGTCTTTCTTTGTGTTCCTAGCACTTAGCACGAAGAAGTGGAAATTGCGGGGATGCTCATCAATTGAGGAATGGCTGAACGAGTTGTGGTATATGATTGTGATGGAATATGATGTGCTATAGGAAATGATGAGCTCTAGGCAGCTAGGTGACACAGTAGATAGAGCACTGCACCTGGAATCAGGAAGACCTGAGTTCAAATGCGGTCTCAGACCAAACACTTGACACTAACTGTGTTACCCTGGGCAAGTCACTTAACCCCAGTTGCCTCACCAAAAAAAAAAAAAAAGACGAGCTCTTCGATTGTAGAAAAAATAGAGAGACTTGTACAAAATAATGAAGAGTGAAATAAGCAGAACCACGAGAACACTGTATATAGTAACAGCAAGATTGTTTTAAAAACAGCTTTGAATGATTAAGTCATTTTGACTAGTATGAACACCCAAATTAACTACAAAGGACCTATGAAGGAAGACACTATCTGCATCCAGGGAAAGAACTGATAAATAGAAGTATGTATAGAATGAGTTCACAAATATTTTACATATTTGTGTCTAATGGTAGCCGTCTCTAGGGTGGGTAGGGGGGAAGAAGGAGGGAAAAAAGGGAAAAAGAAAGAAATTTACATGGTAACTATGTGTGACATTTGAAAAGGTTCAAGAGACATGGTTTCTGGGTAATTTAATCATTTTATTAATAAGGCCAGCAGGTTTTTAATAAAAGAATGGTCATTTGGCGTCTCTCTTAGACCAAAGACCCCTGATGGTTGTGGAGTCACAGTTTATATGCCCTTTAAAGAGGAGGTATTCCCAAGGGTTGCCTAATCACCTCTGATTGGTTAATCAAATGGGATGTGGGCTGTCTTAAGGTAAGTGACTTAGGTCACTCAAATCTTGGTCAAAGAGACATCAGTGTCCATATTACCTGTCTTGATAATAGGACCTGTCTGAGCAAACATAATGAGTAGGAATACACCCATTAGCCTAAACTCAGAATTTCTTTTATTGTATGACTAGATCTTGGCCTGGGTAAATCTCTAAGAAAAATTTCCCATGCTGGTTGGTTTCTGGATGAGGAGTTAGAAAAGGGGAAAAACCTTGGTCTTAATACAATAATTAGTTATTAAATATGAGAAATAGTCATTTCTCACATATATTTAAAAGGAATAGCAAGCTGTACATAATAGATTTGCAGTTTCATGTGCAGTCTTTTTTTTCTACTGTGTTATAGAAATGCTTGTGTTATTTCATAAATTAAAAACAAAATTCCATTTTCACCACCAAAAATAAATAAATAAATGCTTAGTGACTCACTGACCAGAATAAATTATATTAATAATTATTTTATTTTCAGCTTTTTAGCTCCTCTTATTGCTGAGTATGATAAACATCTAGAAGAGGTGAACAGGCAACTAGAATATTATCAGGTATGGAATCACATTTGTACAGATTTATAAAATATATGTTTCTTAGTATAAAAGAAGAAAACAAAAAGACCACCTTGGTTTTTTTAACAGTCTTAATAGAAAGAATTTAACTTTCAAAAAGTTAAATTCTCAATTATCACTGCATATTAGGGATTTTGGTTTTTAGGATTAACCTTCAGATAATTTTTCCATCCCAGATTAATATACTAACAGACTACCTCTTCTTGCTTCACCCAGTTACGGTATGCTTGGGGAAATAAATGCTGCAGTTTTCAACTGAACCCAAAAACAAGCTGTTGCATTTAGCAAACAAACTCCTCAGCATTTAGTTCAGATCAACAGATAGTGATTGCATATGCATGACAAAGTTTAATGGCATTTACCAAAATTACCTGTATCACTAGAAAGGTGGCATCCTGGCATATCTTAAGCAATTTTCAGTTTATCAGAATTTGGATTTAACTTAGCAGGTTTTTTTAGAAGATTCAGTTGTACCAGCTTCTCCCTGTGGGTAGCTATGGACATTCTTGAAGTTCTTTGGTTCTGCAGATATTACTGGTGAAGCAGGAACTTGGCACAGTTATGGGAAACCCAAGGGACTTCAACATTAGTATTCTGGCGGTAACAAGAAGTCATCCCGACAAAATATTGAATATAAATTCATGAAACACTATATGAACCTGGGGAGATCAGCGAAGATCATGGAGTAGAAGGAAATAGTGCATCCTTGCTCTCTCCACAATGATTTAAGATGGACACCAAATCTAATAGTGCTTGGGAAATTGAAGGAGAAACTACAGTGGGTCATTTTTTCCAATAAAAGGTCACAAATTAGATATTCAAGCAAGTTACCTGGGCAGAAACTGTGTAACATATTAGGATCGTGGACTTACCACCCAGAACTCTGAGGTAGGGCAGTAAGGGGTAGCTTAGAGCTGATTTTCTCACTCCCAGCTTCTGCCAGCAGCTAGAGGTTTTCCAGAGGGGCCTGGAGAATAGTCTCAGTGAACACCCTCCCTCCCCAGCATGAAGTCACCCAGAGCAAATCATGGACTTAGTTCCTTACTCTTTCAGGAAAGCAGCACTGAGGAGTCTCTCTTAGGGCAGGATCAATCACTCAGCCACACACAGCTAACAACTGTTGGTTACCTAGAGCAGATTTGCTGGAATAATGAATAAACAACAAGAAAAAAGTGAAGAACCTTTGTGAGGACTGGAATGCTGAAGACACAAACCCAGAAGAGGAGAATAACTTCAAAATAACTCACAAGTAAAGCCTTAAGGCAAAACAGCTTGCCCTCAGATCAATTCGAATTCCTAGAAGAAATGATGCAAGAGTTTTGTTTTGTTTTTTTTAAATGAGTTAAAATAGTATTATAAATAAAATGAAAGCAATAGAGGACAGAACTAGAAAAGAAGTGACAGCTATGGAAGAGAGACTTGAAAAGAGAAAACAGCTTGGCACAAGAGGTACAAAACTTATCCAAGTAACATATTCTCTGAAAACTGGAATGGACCAAATGTAAGTTAATGGCTTCATGAGATATTAATGTCCATGAGACAACAAGAAATATTAAAGTAAAAAGCATGAAAATAGAGAAGAAAATATAGGGTTGCTTCTGTCAGAAACAAATGACCTAGGAAACAGATCAAGGAGAGCTAACTTAAGAATATTTGGACTACCTGAAAGCTATGACCAAAAAGAGACTGGATATCATATTTCAAGACATGAAAGAAAATGACCCAGATTTCTCAGATCTGGTGACAAAATGAAAATATAAAAAAATCCATTTGTTATCTCTCGTGAAAGAAATACCAAAATGAAAACTAGTATTAGAATCAATATCTGAGATGTTCCATGTCAAAGAAAAAAAACAGAACAACAAAACTCTTCAAGGTGGCAGAAAGAACGAGTTAAAATACTGAGGAACCATAGTCGGGTTCCTAAAATACAAGATTTAGCAGTTATCATTATAAAAGAGAACATGGAATAAGATATTCCAGCGGGCAAAAGATATAGGCTTACAACTAGCAAAGTTGAGTTTGATCCTATAAGTGGGGAAATGAATTTTTAAGAAATAGAGGACTTCTAAGAATTCCTAATGAGAAGACCAGAATTCAGTAGAAACTTTGAAATACCAATACTGGAATAAAAATAAACACAAAAAGTTAAATACAAGTGAGATGTCAGAATAGACTTTATAAGGATGAAATGTTTGCGTTCTAATGGGAGAGAGGAAGGAAAGGGAATGATGCAGCCATCCCCTAAGAAATAATATAGATATAAACAGAAGTCATAGAAGGAGTCAAATAAGATAGAGGTCCTGGGAGTGCTTTTTATTATATTTTGATGATCTTAAATGGATAAAGAAAAGTGAGGGGATAAAAGCATACACTAGGGGGAAAAAGAGGAGAAATGAGGGTGAGACATCATCTCACCTAATGGGAGGCCCAAGTGAAGTTCATTCAAAAAGGGAAAGAGTACCTAGAATAGATGTCACTTGAAAATTCACTTTGAACTGATGCAAAGTGAAGAGAGAAGAGCCAGGAGAACACTTCGTAGTATAACAACAAAACAGTTTTGAAAGACTTAAGAACTTCTTTATTACTATGAACAACCATGACTCCAGAGGATTGATGATTTACAATGCTGTCCACCTCCTGACAAAGAAGCAATGGACTAGATATACAGAGCAATGCATATGTTTTTGGACATGGCCAAGATGGGATTCTGTTTTACCTGACTGTATTTTGTTATAGACATCTTGTTGTTATTGTTATTGTTTGTTTTTCCCCTAGTGGTAGAGGTAGAGTGAGGTGGGGAGACAAACAGATGCCTGTTAATTGGGGGAAAAAATAATTAAAAATATATAAATGCCTCCAGTGTAAACAAAAAGACAAATGATTCATTTTTTGTTGGAACCACTTAAAAGATGACTTAGCTTCTTGTGGGGAGGGTAATAGGTGTGATTAGGGTTGGTGTGAGCAACAAGTAAGGTATCCCACTTACTTTTCTCTTTTTTCAAGCAATGATAGGAAAACATCTTGTTTGTATTTTGAGGGATGAAAGATGATCTAGTCATCATGAGGTATGATTATAATTAGCTGGATGAATTCCAGTATCTTTTCGTATGTTATTCCTTATCAGTAGAATTTAAGCTTCTTGAAGGCATCAACTGGTTTTCTGAAAACTGGAATCTTCCCAAATTCCCCATGCTTAGGGTGGGTACTTTCAAAAGTATAAATTGTTAAGTATTTGAAAATTGTAAATGATCCAAACTTCAGTTTCAACTCTTATTCCTTGGAAATTAAAAAGGGGCTTAGATAGTTAAATATTCAGTCATTAAGTTATAATGTCAATTTGCAAGTCAGTTTTTTGGAACCTAGGATATATTTCCCATTAAATGTGATAAATGACTGTTAGGTTCCAAATGTATCCCAGAAAATCCCATTTAATAATTATTTAGCTATGTTTGAATATATCCCTTATGCTTTCAATATGCTTTCAAAATGCTTTTAAGTTCATAAAAGTTCATAAAAGCTCATGTTGGTCTTCCTTCTACTTCCAGTGACTAGGCTAAGCTATTTTGAAACTGTAGTAGCTTCTATTAATTTTTCTGAAAATTGACAGATATTACTTTTAAAAATGTTTTCAAACAAAGGATTTAGCATTTTTGTTTTGGGGATTGGTAAAACCAGACTTTCTAAAGATACTAGTAAAAGTAGTCTGTGAAAGTAGATTTCTCTGGTGCTGTAATATACAGATTATCTAGATTTATAATGCATGTAAAGTCTAGGTATAAGATATAGATAGATATTAACACAAGTACTTTTAAAAAAATGTTTTGAGTCTAATGTACATATTTCTATGCTTTTCTTAAGTATTTGACTTTCCTTCTCACTTTAGCATTTTCTAGCGCCCTAAAATTGATTGTGTCATGTTGGTTTCCTGTTACTGCCATACTTTTTTGAGGGTATGTAATGATAAGGATATTTCATGGTATTCCTCAGAGTAGTCAAAAAGATAGCAACAGCTGCTTCAAAGAATAGCTACCCAAGGAGTTCTCAGTGCTTAGTAGAATTAGCCCTCATAATTTTTCACTAGCCTACTTTTATAAACTAATGTGTTTTGCAAGGGAGATAAATAAATGCCTTAGCTATTTGCTGTATATAAATGCTCCTATTAGAAAAATGGAATTCACATTATGAAGACTAAGGGATCGCTTTTACTATACACATGGCTAGAATGCTTTATATTTTATTTATACGTCTAATGTACAAGTTAAGAATGATACATACTTTTCCTGAAAGGCAACACCTTGACAACAAAAGGATAGTTCTTTTAAATGTAAAAGTTAATTAGTTTTATTCACTGAATGCCAGAATAAAAATTATTAAGTGGGATTATATATTCATTCTTCAGTTTATATCCATGTTGTATTTTTGTATCCATTTTGTACCATTTTATCGTACACTGAGAATGTGAAGCTGAATTACAATGGGCCTGGGGACTTGCTTTGGTCCACAGCTCCTATGGAAAAGTTCTGATTTAGATCCAGGCCAGCCCTGTTCGGTTAGGGGGTATTTAGAGAAGCCGAGTTAACATAGTTTATTGTTATTGTTCATTTGTTTCAGTTGTGTTTGACTCTATGACCCCACTTAGGGTTTTCTTGGTATAGATAACGGAGTGGTTTGCCATTTCCTTTTCCAGCTCATTTTATAGATGAGGAAACTGAGACAAACAGGGTTAAGTGACTTGCTCAGGGAGACACAGCACGAAAGTGTCTAAGGCCAGATTTGAACATCAGGAAGATGATTCTTCCTGACTTCAAGCCTGGCACTCTATTCACTGTGCCACCTAGCTGCCCATATGTTAGCATATGGGTTAGCATATGTTTTTGAACTCTGTTTTTCTAGATTGAAATAGACTGTTGTCTTTTCCCCATTTTCAACTCCTGTTCACATTCCTGAGTTACTGGGAATAGATGTAGTCTTAATTCCAAAATGGACTGACAGATTTACTGAGCTATATAAACATTCCAAGGAAACTTGCCCTATCTGTTATAATATCAGGGATATTTTTCAATATCATTTGAATTAAGGGAAAGACATATAAATATTTGTGAAATATATTGTATAAAATGTTAGTTGAGTTTGTCTTTCATGTGTGTTACTATAAATAAATGTTCAGCTTTACTGCATGCGTTGTATAAAATGTTCACCTTTGAGATTGGTAATTAGAAACAAAAAATTATTCCTCTTATGTCAGTTGACATTATGGCATCTGATTATTCCTATATGATCTGACTACTTAGTGGTACTATAATTATAGAATAATAATTATCATGGTCATGTTTTTTCTCAGATACAGGTTGGGGAGATGAAATTACAACTTGAAAATGTCACTAAGGAAAACGAGAGGTAAGTTAAATCTCATATCACATTCTTTTGTTCTTTATTAACATTCTTATCCCATGTTGTAAAATAGTATTTCTTTCACAAAATACCTAACTGGGTATTGTTAAGACTTACATGAATAGTCCAGACAACAAAGCAATAAAACTATCAAACACTGAATCCAATCAAATGTATATTCTTTTCAAGTTTGAGAATTAAAAATATTTTGTGCAATTTTGTTAGATGAAAGCTTATTTTCATTTTTTAAAATCAGTATTTGCAATTTTCAGGTCAAGGAGAAATACTTTTAGAATCATTAGATTCCTTGAAAAGCTTGATTTTTAAAAAATGGTATATTTCAAGAAACAAAAGCTTCCTGATTTATTAGAATCATAGGGCAAAGGAAAGATAGAATCAATCTATCATCTGTTGAAAGAAACTAAAAAGAGAGGTACTGGGAATGCTATGTCTAAAACTGAGCAGTGACATCAAAGCAGTAAAACTGAAAATATGTAGAAAGAAGCACTTCAAGTACCAATGGGCCACAGTCAGGATTACACAAGACTGAAAAGCTTCTACTATAATCTAGAGGTACTCTTGGAATGTAATATTCTAAGAGGTGAAAAAGAAATAGTCTTATAACCAAGAAAAACTTACCCTGAAAAGCTGAGTAGAATCCCACAGGGAGAAAATGGATCTTTAATGGAATAGAGGACTTTCATTATTTCTAATGAAAAGAACAGAACTAATTAGGAACTCTGAAATAAAATATACTAGAAGAAACAAGAGAAACCTAGAAAGGAAAATTTATTTGAGAATTGAAAAGGGCTGCGTAATGATGTGTTTATATTTTAATTGGGGAGAATAAATGTGTCCTTTTAGAACCTTAATATCTTCAAAGGAAGTTAAAGGAATTAAATAAGAAGAACAGAGGTGCTTTGTAGTATATTGGTTCTATTCAGAGGATTTGAAAAGGGGAAAGATTAGGAAAGGTGAAAAAATGCACTTGAATAAAAAGGAGGAAAAGGAGGACAGAACTTGATATTTCTCAACAATAGATGCACTAAAAGAAGACTATATAAATATAGAGGAAGGGCTGGGAGGGAGTAGACATTACTAGATGAACCTCACTCTTATTGAAACTGATAAAAGGGGGTTGAATATACACACAGTTAGTTACTAAAATATATCAAATACAACAGAAAAAACAAGTGGGGATAGAGTAAGGAGAGGGGTTTAATAGGGTGGACATTACTGGGAAAGGAATAGTCATAAGCAAAACAGACTTCCTCATCCTGAAATGGGAAAAGCAAATAACTAAACTCTATGGGGATGCCTTAGATCACTTCTTAAATGTAATAGAATATTGTTGGAACATAAGAAATGACAAACAATATTATTTAAGAAAAGCCTGGGTAGTATGAAGTGACACAAGATGAAGTGAGCAGAAGTAGGAAAACAATTTATACAAGAATAACTGTAAAGAAAAACAGCTTTGAAAGACTTAAGAACTCAGACCACTGCAACTCTAAGGATGTCTTAGAGGACCTGTGGTGAAGCATGGTATTCCTACTTTCTGTCAGAGAGAAGATGGAAACAAGAAATTTTTGGTTGTGATCACTGTGTGGATTCATTTTGCTTGACTGTGTTAAAAGAGTTCTTTTTAAAAAAGGCTTCTATTTGTTAAAGAGTTTTTAAAATTTTCTTTACTTCTTTCAGTTAGTTATGGAGAAGGATATGAGATTGGGCAACAATAGTGATGTCAGAAAAAATGAAACATTTAAAAAAAACACATGGATGAGAACATGCATTTCTCACAGATGAGAAATTTTTTTTTAAATGCGCATATGAGGTTAAGAAGGAAACACAGATAAGTAGGACATTTTTGAAAGTATAGAATGATGTACTTTTAAAAAAATTAAGTGATGTGAAATGGGGATTTATGATTTAATAGAGAAACATCTTTTTTCTTGTCTGTGTCTAGAAATGCTTCTTTTTGGTGTTTGAGAATTTGAAAAAGAATATTGGTAGCAAAAATAATTGTCCTTTTTAAAGCTTAAATAACAGAAATATAAAACCCAGATTTTATAATGTAAAGCTAAAACTACAACACACACAATATTCTGCAGTTTAAAAAATTTGCAAGAGATAGGTAATCAAATCTGACACGACCATCACTGAGTAACCTAAGATTCGTCTGATTTCTCTAGAAAGCCAATTCTGATTTAACATTGCTAGAATCAAGGCCTATCTTTGTTATAGCCTGGCACAGTTTAGACCTTATTTATTTTTTTATCTGCCATGTCTGAGGCTTTATTGAAATTCTTAGAGTCTATAGTTGAGTATAGTGTCTAGAAGTCTATCCAGATGTTTTGCTGTATCAGTGTTAATAGAAGAAATGGGTGTAGTCCTTGCTATTAGGGAGCCTGAGGATGGTGGATTGCTTGAGTATTGGGGTTCTGAGCTGCAGTACATCTAAAAATGATCAGATATCCTCACTAAGTCTAACGCCTGTACGGTGAGCCTTCAAGAGCTATCATGCTGGCTAAGGAGCGGAAAACTGGCCCATGTTGGAAATGGAAAAGTTTAAAATTCAGTACTCATCAGCATTGGGGCTAGTTCAGTGAGTAGCCAGTGCATTTCTAGGCTGAGGGACATAGGGGGACCCAATCTAAAAAAAAATTGATATAGTAGATACCATAATTGTCTTTTATCACCAACTTATGAGTGAGCTATGTTAAAGAACTAGTATTTGTCAATTGTTTGGAGTTTGGAATTTGTCTTACCATATAAATAATGAGTATTGTAAATGATGTTTTAAATTCCTAAGGTGACCCATAGAAGCATAATGGGCTGATAATTTCAGAAGAAATAATAGTAGTAATAGCCATAATCCCTTATGAATCCTTTTCTAAGTAAAAAATGTTTGGAAGGCAAAGAATAGATGGAGCAACTGAGCAATTTCTGTGGAAATATCATCATGATAGTATTTGGTGAGAGAGGAGAGGGCAGGAGAAAAAGGGAGATTTAACAGTACTGAGGAGGGAAGGAACTGGACTTTAGTGGCAATAGGTTTTGTTCCTTTAGGCAGTGGTCAGAAAGCAGAGCTTGACCTTTTTATGAGTTATTCTTAAGCCAGGAATGGCTTGTACATTGGAGGAGAAAAAAAGCTATGTAGAGAGTCTTTTTCCCCTACTTTTAGAGGAAAGAATCTTGTCTTTGGCACTTAGTAGCTGCGTGGCCATTGGCAAGTTATTAACCTTTCAGCTTCAGTTTACTAATAAACTGTTATTAATAATAAAAATACTTGTAAAGAGGAATTGTGATGTAGTTGATAGATACATAGCTTTAGAGTTAGGATGACCTGGGTCCATATTCTACCTCTGACACACTGTGGATGTGTGAACCTGGGCAGCACACTTAACCTCTTAGTGCCTAGGCAATTTTCCAATACCATAGGTTGCAAAGGAGTTGCTTGTTTGCATTGGTAGAGAAATTTTCCTTACTGGAATTCACTAGACTGATAAAATTACAGTCCTATAGTATCTACCCAATAGCATTGTTATGAAGATCAAATGAGGTAAAATGCTTTGAAAAATCTTAAAGTGTTATGATTCAGAATATCATTATGAATGTTAGTCATCTTAGAACAGAGCCATGTTGTTTACTTTTCATATTCTTCCATGATGGTGAAAAATTTATTAAAATTGAGCTAATTATTTCAAAATGATAAAGAAAGCCACTGATCCTAACTTCTTTTATGAGGAAAAAAAATGTAATCTTAATACCTAAACTAAGGAAGGATAAAGTAAGAAGGAGAATTATAGACCAAAATCATTAATGAATATTGATTTGAAATCTTTAAATAAAATCCTGTCAGAGTAGTAGTTTATCCAAGAAATAATTAATTATGACCAAATTGGATTTGTACCAGTAGTGCAAGGGTGGTTCGACATTAGGTAAACAATTAATAATTAATCATATTTAAAATATAAACATCCTAGATCACATTATTATCTTAAGAGATATAGAAATGAACTTTGACAAAGTATAACATTTATTTATGCTAAAATCTCTACAAAGTATAGCAAAATCTTTTTTTCCAATATAATGTTTTTATCTGAAAACAAAAAGAAGCATTATATGCAGTGGGGTTACACTAGAAATTTTCTCAATACATACAAGAGTAAAGCAAGGATGTCCCCCTTCCTGCTATTATTGTTATAGAAATCCTAGCAACAGCAGAAATGTACTAGAAAGAGTTACAGGAGTATGTAGGCAAAAAGGAGACAAAACTAATGACATTATGGTTTACTTAGAAAATCCTAGGGAATAAGCTTCAACAAAGCTTTGGGCTATAAAATAAACCCACAAATATCAATCACATTTCGTATAAAAACAAATCTAAGAGAAGACAATAGGAAAGAAAACCCCATTCAAAATAACTGTAAAATGCATGAAATATTTGGGAATCAGTCTTATCAAAGTACACACAACATTTGCGTAGTTTCAATTACAAAATACTTCCTGAAGAAGTAAAAAAGAACTTTAATTGATGGCAAAATATTCAGTGATTAGTGCTGGATTTTGTCAATATGGTGAGAATGATAATATTGTTAAAGATAATTTTTAGTCTTATTTCTATATCGATCAAAATAGGAAGAGATATTTTGCAGAACTAGGTGTAATCATTTAAGAATTCATTTGGAGGGAAATAATGAAAGAAGATAGGAATAAAAGAGGTAATAATGCTTCTAGATTTCAAACTGTATTATAAAACAGCCATCAACAGACTCATATGCTTTTAGTTTAAAAAAATAGAAAAGCAGATAAGTGGAACAGACCACATGGGAGAGTCATAAATAATGATAATAACACAGAGTTTGAGAAACCTAAAAACAAATTACTTAGGAAAAAACTCTGTATTTGATTTAAAAAAAACCTGCTGAGAAAACTGGAAAGTAGTCTGGTAGAAATTAGCTTAGATCAAGACTTTACAAAATATTCCACATTAAATTCAAAATGGCTATACAGTCTGAATGCCAAATATCATATTGTAAAAAGAAAAATTAGAAGAGCATGTCAGATATTTTTTACAGGTATAGATAGGTAAGAGAATGAATTCTTAACCAAACAAGGGGTGTTGATCACAGTGTGAAACAAGTTATCCCTTTATTCTTCATAGGATATCTTGTTATCCTGCTGCATGTATCAGTCATCATTAAAGTTTGTGGTATTTTTACTTTAGGTTTTTACTTTTATAAACATTAACACTTTATATGAAAATCATCATTCTTTAATAATTAATGATGTTGTTTACAGGGTCTTTATAGTAAATATGGTTTTCTTTGATCTTAAAGTCATCAAGTGCCTTTTTCCCCTCTGTTGTGTCTTGTTTTTGAAGTCAATGAGATAATATGATTCAATATTAATATGTAATATTTACTTTAGGAAGAATTAAGTAATTTAACTGTTTTGTATCATGTGAGAAGATTTAATTCTCTGAAGTCATCTGTTTATGTTTTAAACCAAAAAAGTATAAACAAATAATGGAATGTAGCTACAGATGAAAGAAACATAATTTCTTAATCTTAAATTCATGAAAATTTATTAAGTTCTTAAGTCTGCCTGTAGCCTAAAGCTTTCAGTAAATTTCACTATTGAAAGGAAAGAATAATTGTTGCTCATTCATTTTTGTGTTAGTTTTCTGTGCTTGTACAACATATATTTTAAAGTTCAGCCAGGGGTAAAAACCTTTCAAAGAATAAGTAAAGATATTTTAAGATTCAATTTTAAGATGATAGAGGAAAATGCAAAAATATATAATAATTAACATAATGATTCATTGAAGTAGTACATGCCTTTATTAATACATGTATAACACATGATGAAAAATGTTATAGCAGCATCTCACTTTTTTGAAACTTTTATATCAGTCATTCTCCCCTGTGGGGAATATGTCTGAGACCGAGAAAATAAGAAAAAAAAATTCCTGAGAAGCTAACTGCCCGGAATCTACACATTAAAATTAAATGAAGTTTACTTATTAGAGAGATTCTTCAGTACCTCGTGTGGCAAGTTAGCCTTCTTTAATACAAAATTCTAACAAACTTGATAATGTAATTTCTAAATCTAAAGTACATTTGAAAGATATAAACCCATAGCTATTCTAAATTACTTATTTCCCAAGGGCTTTTTATGGTCAGTCTTTACTGTACACTTAGTAAATATGAAAAGTTCTCATTACTATGGACATTCTCTCAAATATTGCTTGACAGCCAATGTTTCTTTGTTGATAACTAATACCCAGACTGCTAATTTATAGGGTTTTTAGTTTTGTTTTGACATCCCAGTTTCCTCTTTTTTATTGTACATTACATATTGTAAAGACAGCAATTATTATCCTACACATTTAACCATCTCCTTGCTTCAGGAGGTGCTTCATGTTTGAGAGAGGGCAGACCTGTCAGACAGAGGAAGGGAGATGGAAAGGGATCTATCAGTGGGCTGCAGAATGGGTATACTGGACAGCTTCCTTCCACCTCCTGAGTCAGGTCTTCATAGGCTTCATAACTTAGTTTGAAGTGAATTCAAATGTAAGTACAAAAATAAATATACATGATCCAAAGTCAAATATAATTTATTTTTATAGTATTTGTTCTTTGGGTTTTCTTTCCATTGGCATGAGAACTGACCATTTAGGAAAATGAAAATGTATTTTTTCTACATGTTAGATTTTGAAAAGTAGTTATTCATTTAGTTTTACCTATGTTTATTTTTGTGCTCATATTGCAAAGAAGAGTAAAAGAAAATCAGAAAATGATTTTGAAAAATGCTATTCAATAATCTGATGGAAATTGAAACTCTTTTGCCACACTCAATTAGAAATACAAAATAATATCTGTTTGATAATTAAGCTTTCATAATCACACATGCTATTCTTTACTTTAACTAACATTCTATTTTACCAATTTCGAAATTGAAATTTTTCAACTTAAATATGTAATGATAATTATTGAGATTTAAGTGAAAGTTGTGTAGAGATTTTTACAAATAACCCCTTTTTGAGGTTAATACTCCCCTCCCCCCAGTATTTTTTGGTAATAGAAAATATATTTATTTGTAAAAATATTTACTTAGGGAGTATAATTCTGTGATCCTAAATAAATAGTCAACTGCATCACACAGTCAAATAGATATTTCCATAATTATTTCTTGTAATGTTAGTTTTTCTGTATTTTCATTGAATTTTGGTATCAATCCTTGTTTTCTTTTTTTTTTTTTAAAGAGGTGACTAAATTTCTTTGATTCCAGAGAAGTGATCGGTTTTGTTTTGGAAATTTTAAATAGGTACCTTAGATGTACTTACTTGGATTAAAGTAGTATTTTCTACTTCAAAATTACTTTGAAAAGATGAAATATTTGTTTGGAGTGCCAGCTTTTATGTAATTATATCAGAAAACTCCTGTTTAAGTGAATAAACCAAATTTCACGTTTTAGGGCATTTTTTTGCTCAAATTAATTGTTAGTCTTGAATTTACCTTTAAAGCTAACACTAAATTATTTGCAAAATTTTATGTAAGTAGGTAGATGGTCTTTAATCTACAAGCATTAATTTTATTCTATAGTATTGGTTGAGGCTAGCTAGAGGCAAGAGAATTGTATCTGAAGAACTATAGAAAACAATGACTATTTTAATAAGAATAAAACTACTTTTATCCTTTAATTTTCAATATAAAATCATTCATAATTATTTTGTAGAGTTCTTAATTTTTTTTTCTCTCTGAAAGTGAGATGTAACATCTAACTTTTACCTCCTATGAAAAGTTTAGGCTTCCCTATGACAGTTTGAACTTTATTTTAAATTAATTATATCCAGTTTCATGCATTTAAAATTATGGATTTGTCTTTTCATTATAATATAATATTTGATGAAGATTATGCTGTTATTTTTAATTTCCAGTTTGGAAGTATATTTCAGAATGATTTTGTATGAAGAATTATTTTTTATTTAATTATTTGTTTCATTTGTACTTGAATGTTTATTACTATTTTAAAATATTGACCATAAACCATTAAAAAAATTCCAGTTATTAAACATAAGTTAGATTATTATTGTATTACTATTTTGCTAAAGGTTGCATGGTGAACTAAAAGAAGCTGTCGAAAAGCAGTTAGAGGTCCTTCCTTTTGGTACTTTATTGGGCACTGATGTGTTTACAGATGAAGAAATGGTCAGGAACCTACAAGAGCAGTTACAACTAGCTAATCAAGTAAGTTAACAGTAAATATGCTATTCCATTTCTTAAGTTTGACCCTGCCTGAAAACAACAACAACAACAAAAATCTTCAAAGCCCATACAACTGTTCTTTGGAAGCTGACATTTCAAAATGTATTTCAGTTTACAGTGATATATTTTAAAACTTTTGACATGTATTTAGACCTTTAGACACCTTTGAATTTTTAAAAAATGTATAATTTGTAGTCAGTATTTATTCTCATTTCATTAAAAAAAGTCTAATTGACAAATCTTGCTTGGATAAGCACTTAGAAAGACTAATGTTTAAAATTCATGTGAAGAAATGAGCATACTCAGATATTCAAGTGATAGCCTTGGTACTTTCTTCACCTGAGATCGTAAGAAAATTTAAGGAAATTATGTAATTTGATTCTCAAAGTAATGTACTGAGTAACATTTCTTTTTGATCAACTTGTGCACAAGGGAAAATACAAACACTTTAGATTCTATGATTCAAATTGCCTGAATTACATTACAAAATATTAGAATATTGGAGGTTTCTAGACCACTAACACTGTACAGTAAGTTGTATAGCATTTTAAAAATAGTTTTAAAGCCTACATTCCTATAATTTAAGTTTTGAAATTTTTTTTGAAGTAAGTGATCCACATTAGCAAAAAAGAAAATCTTGGTTTGTAGGAATGTGTTTGCAAGAGCCTTTTCTCCACCTGTCACACTTCATTAACAATAAAACAGTGTTGATAAAGAGAATAGGTCAGAAAAGTATTGTAGAGAATTGACATAATAAATGAGGATCTTAGCTTTGAGTATTCAGTTCTTGTAAAATATAAAAGTAAGACTGATGGATAGATTAAGATTTTATTATAGACCTTAAATCAAAAAAAGAATCTCAATCTCTCTGTCTCTCTCTCCCTCTCTCTCTCTCTTCTTCTTCCTCCTCCTCCTCCTCCTCCTCCTCCTCCTCCAGCTTACAGTTTACTGTGGTTTGTTCAGTATTAGATGTATCTGCTTTGTGACTGCAGGTATGGTATTATGTTCAAAGTATTAGAGAACTTGATTTCCTATAGTTCATCATCTACATTTACTTAATACTAACTTTTGAATATTTTTTCGTGTGTAAGAAGACCACATTTCTGATGGAGATCCTTTTTGTGTGTCTATTCATTTGTAACTATGCTGGGTGCCTGAAGGATCTTTTTTGCCAATCCCTGGAAGTGTAACAGTTTTTCTGTAATTATGTGCATAAGTTCCTCTGCCCCACCCCCCCTCCAAGTACATTCTTTCCTAGATAGAATCTATCCATAGACTATACTGAGAAATGCCATTACTATTACTTTAGTTGGCAAAATGTACTTTTTTTTTTAAGTTTCAGTTCAATATAGCATTTCCCTCTTTTTTATTTATAAAACAAGCAAATATCTTTTTGTGGAAATAAACTCTCTTAGAATAAAATTCCCATTCTATTTCTCAAATTTTATGAATTTAGGGAACAGGATAGATAACTTAAACTGAATACGAAGCATTGACTCTCCTGTGTCTGTTTTTTCCCCTTACGATCCAGTGGTTAAAAGGCAACACTTAATTTAATATGCTTTTTACACCACACATGCTCTACTTAAATCCTATTACTGGGCTAATAGAACAGGAATAAACAGATAATATGGGTATGTGGGAATCTTCCAAAGGAAACTTTTAAAAAATATGTACCATATTGTAATGGCTGGACATTTTTTTTTTACTTTAAAACTACCATTGACTCTTTATCCCTATAAATTAAGGAATCATATTTGACTGAAAATTTACATTTCTTATAGCCATCTCCTTTTATTTCCTTTTCCCTTCTCCCTAATCTTTCCTTTTTCCCCCCTCAACATCCCTTCCTCTTTCTTCCTTCTTCCTTTCCTTTTTTCCTTCTTCCTTCTTCTCTCCGTCAGTCTGTTCTGTTTCTGTCTCTGTGTCATTGCCTCTCCTTCCTTTCCACCCCTGTCTCTCTACTTAGGGAGCCTACAATCTACTTTTTTTTTTCAGCATTATACATATTCTATTTTATGATGGCAAGTAGAGTGGCTATGTTTGCTTTTTACAGAACTATCTTTTCCATAATTCACCATTTTCAATTTTAGGGCTTAGATAATAGAAATTTACATTTCTCCTCACCTTTTTACTCATTTTAAAGTAAATGCTAATATCTTAACTTCCTTGAAGAGTTATTTAAGGGAGCTACTAGGCTATTGAGTCTGTCCTAGAGTGGTTTTCCCTGCCACACCCCATGTAAAATGTTCATCACATTTTTAAAGTGTCTTATGTTATAACAAAACACAGAGTATTATTTCAGCATTCTCTTGGAGGCGGAATTTGGGTGCCAAAGTAGCAACTTATAAGTTGAGATTTGAAAAGACTAAGCAGACACTCCTCTTATAGTCCTTTTTAATATTTTACATATTTGAAGAGGATAGCTACTGGCCTAAAACTATGCCTGGTTTCTTTGAAGAATGATGATTTCAGCTGTGGAGATCTTAGTTCAATATATTTCATAATTCTATAGTTCAGTGGATTAATGATATTATCCAATGGAATAATAAAACCTTTTACAATTAAGAGATTTAGAAGTTTAATTTATTCTTATTTTAAAGAAAGTGCTGTCATGCAGAAGGCTTCATCTGTACTGTCCTATGACCAGTTAATATAATTAAAATAGTAATAACTTTTTTTTAATAGGAGAAAAACCAGGCTGTGGAACTCTGGCAGACAGTGTCACAGGAGTTAGACAGACTACAGAAACTCTATCAAGATCATATGACTGATACTCAAATTTATGTAGTTGAAAGACAAAAACAAAAGGTAATTTTCAGTTTTAATTTTGGAAAAAATGACTAATTAAAATTAAACATCTGTTCCTCTCTTTAAAGTCATATGTGTTCCAAACTTTCCTGTTCATGTTAAAGTTACCTCTATGCTTCTAGGCAGCTAAGGTCATCACCTTAGGGCCTTGCCTCTTCTACCTTTTCACATATATACAGTAAATTGCCAAGTCTTCTCAATTCTATTTTTACGATGTCTCTCACATCTGTTCCTTTCTCTTCATTCACATAGCCCCTAGTGTGGCCCTCAACATGCCCTACTATACTATTGTTGTAATCTCCTCATTGATTTCCTTGCATCTAGCCTCCCTCTTCTCTAATTCATCTTCTGTACAGCATTCCACATTGATAATACTAAAACACAGATCTATTTTTAGTAGATCCCTGTTCCTCCTAGAATAAAATACAAATTATTCAGCATGGTATTTAAAACACTCTACTGTCTGGCTTACTACCTATTCCTCTACATCGTATTCCATTTTCTGTTCCTTTGCACTGCTGAGCCCTCCATGGCTAGAATACATTTTTTCCTCACTTATGCTTTATAGATTCCTTCAAAGCATAACTCAGGTTTCAACCCTACACAAAGTTTTTCAATGCATGTGTCTATGAATATTCTATGTACATAATATCTTCTGTCTATGCTTTATTTCCTCCTCCTCCTCCCTGTGTTGGAATGTTGCTGTAAAACTAGTATTACATGTGAGTTCAGTTCTTCCCCTGGGGATCCTGGACCTCTAGCATAAAGTCTCAATTACTACCACTTCCTCCTCCAGTTGCCTAATGTTTGGAAAGGAAGCATTTTTGCCATTGTCACCCTTCATTATTATAGAACCCTGGAGAATGGAGCCTCCAGTTAATTAGTTCTTCTCCTTTTCTATAGTTAACAGATTCACACCTCCTGTTACTTTTATCCCTAATGATGAAAATAACTTTACCCTGCTATTTTTCCAAATGTGGTCTTAAATTTTAAGCATAATATTTTACATTAGGGTTGGTAGACCTGGAGTCAGAAAAAACCTCAGTTCAAATCCTGCCTCAGACACCTAGCTATATTGTGATCCTGAGCAAATCACTTCATCTCTGCCTGCCTCAGTTTCCTTATCTGTAAGATGAAGATAATAATAGCACCTAACTCCCACGGCTGTTGTGAGGATAAAATGAGATATTTGTAAAGTGTTTTATAAACCTTAAAGTGCTATATAAATGCTATTGATCATCATCAGTCATCATCATTGTTACATTTAATCTTAGTTTGACAAGCTATTATAGCTTGTCAAGATTTTTTTTATTCTGAATTGTCACCTAGGATATCATCTCTCTTAGCACTATCATTTGAAAATCTGAAAGAATGTTCCTGATATGTTCATTCTCATTATTAACAAATAATGAGTAAGATAGGACCAAATGAAAAACAAAAATAATTAACTTGTTTTAAAATTGTGAAGCATTGAAGTATTAATCCCCCTGAAAAGAATTTTTTCATCTGGGTGGAGAGTTTTTAAATTTTTTTAACTGAAGTCAGAGATAATAACCTTAATGATTTTGATAGTCTCTGTAAGAGGTTCACCAATCTTGGTCAGGATACATTTCTTTTTTTGTTTTGTTTGTCTTGTTTTGTTTTAATATTATATTTTTTCCAATTACATGTAAAAACAATTTTTAACCTCCATTTTTTACAGGTATGAATAATAATTTCTTTCCTATCCTCCTTCCCCTCCCCCTTCCTTGAGAATCGATTTGATAAGTTATACATGTGCAATCATGCAAAACATTTCCATATTAGTCATGTTGTAAAAGAAAACACAGACAAAAAAAAAAAGAAAAAGAAAGTAAAAAAAAACACCCCAGTATGTTTTTGTCTGCCTTCAGATCCTGTCAGTTCTTTCTGTGGAAGTGGATAGCATTTTTCATCATAGATCCTTAAGAATTGTCTTGGATCACTGCATTGCTGAGAATAGCTAAGTAATTCACAGTTGATAACTGTATATTTCCATTACTGTGTACAATGTTCTCCTGGTTCTGCTCCCTTCACTTTGCATCAGTTCATGTAAGTCTTTCCTGGTTTTTCTGAAACTATCTCCCTTATTATTTCTTTTTTGTTTGTTTGTTTTGTTTTTGGTTTTTTTTGGTGAGACAGTTGGGTTAAGTGACTTGCCCATAGTCACACAGCTAGGAAATACTTTGTGTCTGAGGCCAGATTTGAACTCAGGTCTCCTGACTCCAGGGCCAGCGCCCTATCCACTGCACCACCTAGCTGCCCTCCCTTAATTTTTCTTATAGGACAATACTGTTCCATCACAAAAATATACCACAACTTGTTCAGCCATTCCCCAATTGATGAGTATCTCTTCAATTTCCAATTCTTCGTTAACCACAGAAAGAGATGCTGTAAATATTTTTGTACATTATAAATCCTTTTTTTCATTTTCTTTTGCTTTGATCTCTTTGAGATACCATCCTGGAGGTGGTATTGCTGCATCAAAGGATATGCACAGTTTTATACACTTTGGACATAGTTCTAAATTGCTCTCCAGAATGGTTGAATCAGTTCACAACTTCACCAACAGTACATTAGTGTCCCATTTTTCCCACATTCCCCTCCAACATTTGTCATTTTCTGTTTCTATCTAATTAGCCATTCTGATAGGTGTGAAGTGGTACCTCAGAGTTATTTTAATTTATATTTCTCCAATCAATAGTGATTTAGTTTTCAATATGATTATAAATAGCTTTGATTTCTTCATCTGAAAACTGTCTGTTTGTATCCTTTGACCATTTATAAATTGGGGAATGACTTGTATTCTTATAAATTTGACTCAGTTCTGTATATGTTTGAGAGATGAGGCCTCTATCAGAGAAACTTGCTGTAAATTTTTTCCCCTTTTTATCACATTAATATATATTTGTGTAATAAAACAAGCATTTCTGTAACATAGTACAATAAAAAAAGATGATTGTACATGAAAGTGCAAATCTGCCATGCACAACTTGCTATTTCTTTCAAATATAAAACAAAATTATCATGTAAATTTCTTCTTTTTTTCCTCTCCTCCTTCCCTCATGGCTACCATTAGACACAAATAGGGGTGTGTGTGTGTGTGTGTGTGTATAATATGTATGTATATGTGTAAAATTATTTTGTACTTCTGTTTATCAGTTCTTTCTCTGTATGCAGATAGCGTTTTTCTTCATGTGTCATTTGTAGTTAATTTGCGTATTTACAATAGTCAAAATAACTTATTCACTCAAAGTCATTCTTAAAACAATATTCTGTTGATAATTAAATTTTTGAAAGTTATTGAAAATAAATTTTTTCCCCAAATTTTTAGGCAGGATACATTTCACACATCTATCTGAAAATAGATAAGTTTCTACAGAGATGTAGGTTACTATTTATGGGCTCTAAAACTTAAATACGTTAGTTTTTATTTGGTCCTTTAGTCTGTTAAAATGGTCCTTTTTATGCTTCTTCGACCCATCTGCTACAGTATCTTAATAGTATTTAACGTGTGAAAAATTAAGGGGAGAAAATTTTAGCCTTTCTTAGTATTTGCTTGTTTTGCATTCTTTTAGCTTTTATTTGAATGTTAAACTTGTTTTGGTCAGTAATCAGACATTTAGTGTGATTTACATTTCTCTTTTAGGATCAGCTGACTAACTTTAAGCAACTGACACAACAACTTCATGTAGCTAATGAGAACATAGAAATGGTAAGTGAAAATATCTGTTGAAGATAGAGAGAAACCAAAAAATTACCATAGAAAGAGAAATTGTCATTAAAATAGATCTCTGTTAATGTCTTTTGTTCTTGTATTTCCTACATTTCCCACTGCATCTGTCCCTATTGCTTCTTCCAGAGAGCAATCTCTAATAATAAGCAAAAAAAAAAAAAGAGGAAAAAGGGGAAAAAAAACCAACTAGCGTGCTGAAAAAGCTTATGTCGTGTAGTGTTACATACCCATGGAATTGCCTTGCCTTCCCCCTCTTTTACCAAAGTTCGGGGAGCTATCTTTTCATATCTCTTCTTTGGGGCCAAATTTGACCTTTATCTCACAACATTCACCATCACTTGTTCTGTGGTGGTTGTTCTTTCCATTGATGTAATCATTTTTGTAGTACTATATCATTTATAGTATTTTTCTGGATGTGCTCACTTCACTGTGTATTAGCTCATATAAGTCTTTCCATGCGTCTCTGTATTCAATATGTTTATTATTGCTCATGACACATTAATGTTCTGTTACATTCACGTGTCATAATTTGTTTAGACATTCCCTAATCAATGGGCATCTACTTTATTTTCTGGTTTGCTATCACAAAGAGTGCTCAGCTTATAAATATTTTGGTGTATGTAAAGCTATTTTGTTAATGACTTCCTTGGGGAGAAAATAGCATTTGTTAATGCTTTGTCAAAGGAACTAATTTGGAAAAGAAATTTGTTAAAAATCTTAATATGAATCACAATTTCTCTCTCTTTTATTTTTAGTAGAATGGTTCACAAATTGAGTGCCAGAAATATATGTGTGTTTATGCATATATTGTGTACATATTTATGAAACCAATTGTTGAATAATCAAATTAAATATTTAGTTGTCTGAAAATGCTCTTTTATTACTCACTGAGCCTCCGTAAGAAAATACTGCAGAACAGTTCAGTTCCTTTTTCTCTGATATGCATTCATTCAGTAAGTATTTATGCAATAATATGCCAGGTGCTGTGCTAGATATGTGGGACACATAGACCAAATATGAAGAATCCCTGATGTCAAAGAGCTTACATTTTCTGAAGTCATTCAGATATTTGTTGATCAACAATATTAATGAGTGGAATTTACATACTGTTTCAGGTTTTAGAGTGTTTTACATACATATCTGATTTGAGCCTCACAACAACATTGTGAGATTGCCTTAAGTTTGGTGTAGCTAAATTGCTGAGGAGTCTTTCCCTGAAGTAATTGTTCTTAGTTCTCTAGTTCTCTGCTGACTTTTACAGTTCTACCTTCCTTCTTATCCCTCCCCTCCTTTCCTTTTACCCCCTTAAACTCTTTTCCATCTCTTTCTTCTTTTTTCCCTTTAGCTTTTTTGAAGTTATTAATTAGAATTTTTTTTAATCTCATTGTTGAGTAGAAGGATTATGACATCAAAAGAAATTCTCTCTTTTCCCTTCATTCTTGCTCAGTTCAAAATTACTTCTCTTTTTTGCTCATATTCAATGAACAAATCATGTTCCAAAGTAGAATTGTGACATCAGAAGTAAGTCATCTGGTTCTTTTTTAATATTTTACTTTTTTTCTTTCTCCTCTAATCATTTAAAATTATTTTTTTGTTTTTATGCTTATTACAAAACAGATTTCTAATTCTTGTGTCTACTTAGATCCAAAATGAGGACCTTAATGTCTTCAAACTCTTGTAAGTGTTAATTTCCTTTTCACTCATGATATTTTGGCCATCTTATTCCTTGCTAACTGCTCACCAGTAGGATATTTGGGGAAATGAAAGGACAAACTTAAATCAGGCTAACAGAGAATAATGGCTCAGACGAGTTTTAATCATCAGTGGATTCATTAACTCCTTTTATCCCTACTCCCATTATAATTTTGAAGTTATTGTTGATCCTAGGTTATATTTATAGTTATAGAAAATTCAGTCATACAGAATTTCACATAAGTATTTAAAGAAACAAATCTGGTTATCATTTCTTCATTTTTCTAACCAGTCAGTTTGTACATGTAGTTCTGTACATGTTTCAAGACGTGCCAAAACTGGCTCTGCTTTCTATCGATTTCTATAAATTTTCCTACATCAGCACATGCGGGTAAATATCCTTATAACAGTATCAGAATTAGTTTAATATTACTTTTCCTGAGTATGTGCCTCATATTGCTTCCCTGTCTTAACTATATATGCTTACCTATCTTATAGGACAACTGTGGTACAATGTATTAAAAATCATTTTACATTTTTGTCGACATAGAAAAGTGTAAAGCAGTATTAAAATTATCCAGAGGAAAACAATAATGTATGTAACTAAGAAAATTTCTAATGGAATAATCCTCTTAACATGGGAGTGATAATTTAAGAGAAAGATAATTTAAGTTATTACAGCTATTCATTCTAGTTTCATATGTTAAGAAGATCTGAATTGTATTGTATTCTTTCTTAATGTAATGGTTCATCTATTTTATTGGGAATGGGCCTGTGATTTTATTAGTATAGAAAATTCCAAGTGAGGAAATTCCATCCACCAATGCAGGTCAGCACCTTTTTTCTAACTGATACGTTTAAGGAGTTTCCTAGAGCAGAGATATCAAGCACATTGCAGCTGGCAACACTCTCGAATACAGTTTAAGTCAGATTAAAATATAATTGGGAAATACGTAACAAAATAAATAAAAATATAATAGAACATAGATAATGCAAATATGTAGTTTTCTAAATCAATAAGTGGCCCCTCTACTAAAAATAAAAGATAGAAGGATCAAGAGATAATGTGGAGAGAGCCAGCTTTAGAATCAGGAATAGCTAGCATCAAGTCTTGCTTCTGACACAGTCTAGCTGTGTTTTCTTCATCCTCTCCCTTCCACTCACACCATAACCACCTTAGTTTAGGCCCTCGTGACATTTTGTCTGGACTATTGCAGTGGCCTCTTAATTGGTTTCCCTGCATCTATCCTGCACACAGATAACAAATTGATGTTCCTCAAGTCACTGACCTGCACAAGAAGCTTCAATGGTGGGGCAGCCAGGTGGGGCAGTGGATAGAATATCAGCCTTGGAGTCAGGAGGACCTGAGTTCAAATGTGGCCTCAGACACTTGACACCTACTGCTATGTGACCCTGGGCAAGTTGCTTAACCCTTATTGCCCCACCAAAAACAAAAAGTTTCAGTGGCTTCTTGTGATCTCTAGGATTAAATGATTAATTAAATTCTGTTTGGAATTTGAAGACCTCCACAACTTGTCTCAAACCTCAATTTCCTTCATACTCATTCTGTATTCCCTCCTGACTGCCCTCACTTCTTTGGGGCTGAAGTTAAGCACGATTTCCTTTAAAATGACTTTCCTGATTGGCTCAGTTCTTCATTTCCTCCCCTCCCCTGCCCATTACTCTATTTGTTTTGTATATATCTTATATTTAATTATCAATGTCCATGCAGTGTCCTTTGATGGAATGTAAGGAAAGCAAGAACTGTTTCATTTTAGTCTTTCTGTCCCCAGTGCCCAGCACAGTCTCTGGCTTATAAGGGTTAATAAGTTCTTATTGATGGATTTTTATTGCTGAACAAATGTTTAATTGATTGATTTTGTGACCATGAGCACTTTGTGGTACAAATATTTCTCTAAGACTATAATCTACAAATAGATTGCATATCTGCATCTGTGGAAAATGTTTCCTCATACTTAATATCACAGATGTACACTTTAAAAAAAATTGTGATTTATGAACTAGAAGTTGGGTGTATTCCTCACCCTCATAGTCTTAGTATTATAGTATTTTTACAGCTTTAAATAAACATAAATATCCAATATAACCCCTCCATTTAACACATGAGTAAACTCAACTTTTAGCCAACATTAAAGAAGCAGTAAATTGCAAAACTGGGATTTGAATCCAGGTTTTCCGGTTCTGAATCTAGTATTCCTTCACTATGGCACTCTGCTGTTATGTTATATATAAATTGCCAGTCTTCAGTAGGTGAGTGAATTTCCACACTTGGATTTCTTCAGACCCATAAAATCATAAATCTGAACCTCTCTATTTAGTCTGTCAGTCAATAAGCATTTATTGAGCACCCCTTATGCTCCAGCGACTATGCTAAGTGCTGGTGATACAAAGAAAGGCAAAAGACAGTCCCTGACTACAAGGAACTAACAATCTAATATAATTCCGTAGGCTCCCCATCCCATCCCCTCACCCCCGAAAAGGATCAATGAATGAATGAAGCATTTATTAAGCATTTACTATATACAAAGCACTAGGGATACATTTCTCACCCTGCTGCACACCTCTGGACTTCATCATCCTATAAGATTACATCAACCTTGGAACTCACACTTCATCAGTACTCCCTGCCTTCAGGGCCCCTCCCTCCTTCTGATTGGAGAGGGTGTTAGGCTGAGAGAAGAGAGCCCTTCCTAGACCCTCTAGTCAAGGCCAACCATCTCTTCATTTCCCTCCTGGCTGCGCTAGTCTGGATATCATCATGCCCTCTTGCTGGATATCCTCTTCCTCCACCCTCCTTTTCTTTTTCCTTTTATGTGTTGTCTTCTCCCTCTTACATTTTGAACTTCTTGATTGTAGAAGCTGTCTTTTGCCTTTCTTTGTATCCTCCACATGTAGTAGGTGTTAATAAATGTTTACTGACTGAAATAGAGAAGCAAGACAGTCTTTGCTCTCAAGGAACTTATATGTGGGAGAAAACACATATTGAAGGTTTCAGCTACAAATGAGTAGAAAAAGTAGTATGGTCCTTAGGATACAGTGACAAAGCAGATAATAATGCTTCTTTAATGCTATTTCCACTGATGAAATCATACCAGTTTGTGATGTTGAACTATTTGACAATGCCAAAAACTTTGGTGGTAAGAACTTTCCTTTCTCAGTTTTCAGTAGCTGTAGCTATTGTAACTGCAGGAGCTGTTCCCAGGCTGCATCTCCACAGGTGTTTTATCTCAGGATGATGAAAAGGCAGTAGGCTGACAGCAATGCTG